ACTCTATTCTTAGTAATGCCGCTTTAATCGATTTACTTTTTTTCATTCGTGCGCTGAAAAAAGAGTGGTTTTTCGTTTCATTCATCTCTTGAAAAAGTACGTTATGCCGTATATTCAGGACTGGAATTGAGACGGAGGCCGGCTTGCTTATACTATATATTAATTAAAATTTTTATATATGTGTATATGTATATTATATATATATACATAGGTATATATAATTCTATAGATCTGATTCTGATCTATTCTATATGATCTGTTCTATCTATGATAGATGAATGGATGATTATGATGAATAAACAAATGATGAATGGAATCAATAGATAAATGAAGGATGAAAGATATAGAAGTGACACTGAATCAACACAGTTTTATTTCGTAATTAAACAGGTTCACATGTCATCATTATGAGTGCACTATGCACCCCTCAATTTTTCCCACCTTGCATCTCTTTAGACAATGAAGATAAACAGCACAGCCAAGGGATGTATGTTGGCAAGCAGCAAACGAAGTAGGCAAAAGAGGCTGCGTATTAGTAGCAGCAATATTTATATTAAAAATTTCCTTAATATAATTGGATGACCACATTGCAGCATGATTATATCAAAAGCAGGAAACGATTTGATTTAGAATGGCGTAGACCAGAAAAATTATTATAAGCAATTTAGAAGAGAAAGAAGAGATAGCCAAATTAAAAATGAGGAATTGAAATGGCATTTGCTACATTAAAATTAATAGTTTTCCTTCATTTTTTATACCTTATATTTATATCTGGCGATAGAAATTCCTTATAGAAAGAAGCATTATAGAGTAAGGAAAACAAGGAGAGAAAATAATTTTGAAAAAAAAAATCATAAAACATTTATCTAAATTTTAAATATGACATTTTTGACCAACGAATTCAAATTATTATTATCACATTTATAATTTTCTTATTTTATACAAAAGTGGAAGACCCGCAGCTTTCTCCAAATACAAATAAATCCATCTCTTGGGCAATTCACATCAACTAATTGATGTATTAATTCACCAGTGTTTGAAGGAGTGCTCGTCAGTTACTTATATCGACCCCGTTCCTTGTAAAGGCAACTGGCCTTTTTGAACTGCGTTAAACATTCCATTATACATAAAAAATTGAAACCACACTCCATTATATATAAAAAATAAGACTTATGGCGGAAATAAATTATTATTTTTTCATAAGGTGAGAGCCTTTAAGGTTTTTCTTAGCATAGTCTATCTTTACATGCAAGTATTAATTAATTTTTTAAATTTTTTATTATATTCTATAACAATTTTCCAAAATTATTTTATTAATTTTTCATACTCACTTCACTTTCAAAGTTATTACAAAATTCTAAAATGTGTTGAATCTACTGTAATTTTGTCTGCAAGCTACGTTAGTCAAACGGCCATATTTATACTGTGGTCTAGTGGACAAATCCGCTACCCCAAACCCCGGTTGTGATACAGGATTGAAATGAACTTCTATCTCAAATTCTAACAATAGCATGAATTTTTATAAAATAAAACTTTAACAGTTAAGGTTCGTGACAATGTGGGACTTGGATACATTCAGTCCCGTAAATTCAGAAATTCCTTAAACAGGAAAGTGCGCTATTCGCAATATATACGAGGAGTAAACGTTTTAGCGGGTCCAAATGTCCATAGCTACTACAGCAGGAAGGTCCTGGCTCTTCTCAGTAAACCACCTTACTTTCTCTCTATCAAACTTTTACTAATTCACAGTATCGTTACTTCCGCTGAACTCCGCGAGAGGGGAAAATTCCCATCCTGGTTCGTTACAAAGGTGTCCACATTCTAACCCCGATGAAAAAACTTCTTTTACCTCTTTTTCTGTTAGAGTGACCATCGAGAATGAAACCAGAATCATTACCAAAAGGGTCCTCGTTTTAACAGGATTTCTCCTCTGGTGTGAAAGAGGTACCATTGCATTCGGAAATCAGTCATCCTGGGAAAACTAACAAAGAACATCTATCTGACCTTATCACAGTACCGTCCTTCTACAACGCAATACGCATTCTACAAGTCAGCACCATCTATAACCGTTGGCCATGATTAAAAATTATTTTTGTCTTCTCTCATGTGTCTAAATCATTACATTTTGAAAAAGAACCGGTAGAATCATTTTTATCTTTAAACTGCGCGAATGTTTCATTAGAAAGTTCAGAGTATTGGTTCCGCTATGGAGAATTTTTTTCGACAATCATCTGTTTGAATCATCGCTTGAGTAGTGGAAAGTTCATCTGTGAGATCAATTTTCCTACTTCATATATATAGAGAGAGATTATTAATTAATAACTATATATATGTGTGTGTGTTTGATGTACCAGCTTTTGTCCAGAATAAATAGATTGGTGAAGAATCATAGATGTAATCGTAGCTTAAATTATCAGACGATAAGTTTAAAAAACAGGATCCATTTATTATTGCTCAGGAGAAATAGCAGTTACAAAAATTATATTGACCATGAATCTACCATGAAAACCTGTTATTGAACGTACATCATCAGCACACACTCGTACATATTTTTTCAACTTTCATGGCCAGTCAAATATTCATAATTTTTTAATATGATTCGCTGTGTATGATTTGGAATGGCTCACATAATAATTCTTCATATTTATATATCTATATTCTGTTTCAAATGAAATACAATCAGCTTTGATTACCTGTACGCTTTCATCGAACTGGAATGCAAAATATTTGCTTTGCTTTGTATTTTTGATTAGCGTTTGTTTTATTTGAGCAGCAGTTTGGTTATTCGACGTATCTGCAGCCAAAGACGATAATAAAGATTCTACGGTAGTAAGTGGTTCTGAAAACTAGCCAAATATGATATTCCCATTGCTTATGAATTCACTGTGGTGAAGAAATGAAGTGAACATATGTTAGGTAGCATTTCATTTCGTTTTCATTTTAAAAAGTTGATAGGTTTTAAACTGTAGTATTCTTCTGAAAATGCCGTAGCAGAAGCGATGTTTTCATCGAGTGATTCGAAAACTGCTAGCAACAAATAACACTCTTGAGCATGAGGACGTTTTCCTTTTCGTTCTTAAAAAAATTAATTTTGGAATTAAATTTCATGATACATTCTTATAACAGTAACGCTTCGTTTTCTAGATGCTTCATCAGATTTAGGACAGATCTGGAAATGCTAATTGTATCAATATTTTCAGCTAGCGCAAAGCCGTTAACTAGCGTATGTATAGGCCATATTTGTGGCCACCGGTAGAGGCGCCAGTTGAAAGTTAAAGCCAGGAACAGAAAAAAATATTTATGTATTTGAATGATAAAGATTAAAACAAAATGCTAGATTATATTATTACAAAATGCTAAAAATTAAAACAAAGGTGCGTCATTTTACATTCATTTCGAACATTAATTAAAATATTTTATGTAAATGTTGTACAACAAAAAAGTAATGTAATGTACCAAGTACGCGTACCATAGCTGGAGAAATATAGACTAGTAGACTATTTATTGACTCTATGTGGACATTATTTTTGTAGTTGTTGTTGCTAAAGCTCACTCGTCTAACCTATAGTCAGCACAAGCCCACGAAATTCCTCGTGGCAAGGAGCACAAGCTAACACACGTGACAGTGCGCATTAGCACAGTTCCGCCCCGAATTTTGATGGAGAACACACCGGAAGAACGAGTCCGAGGGTCTCCCACCCCCTCTTCCCTTACCACCAACTTTTTCGACAGGACTTTCGGGATTCGAACACGGGCCCTTCAGCACAGCAGACAGCGACGCTAAGCACTATACCAGTTGGGCCGCTGTGTGGACGTTAAACTGAGTTAAATTTAATACCATTATAGCTTTCCGCATCAATGAATCTATTTCTGCGTTCAGCAGCTTTAAAATGCTTGAAGAAAACAAAAAAGTATGGATGAGAAGGGAAAGAATTGATAGTACAAACAAAATAAGATAATGGGTTCTTAAACATAAAACCTTAACTTTGTCAGATGATGTTGTCCTGTCTATAATCGAAATACCTAACAGGGGTAATTAATGCTAGAGTCTTACAACGGATATTTTTTATAGAAATCTGTAACGTTGAAAATTATAATGCGAAAATGAGAACTGAAACTCTTCAGATTTAACTCGGCCTTCGCAACATGTACAAAATCCAACGCTGACTTTCTTTTAATGTTGTTCACCTCATTTATCACCGTTTCTCAACCGATCTAACTAAAAACCACTAAACGGGGAGAAAGGATTTTGCTTCAAAAACAGAACTAAAACTGAAAACTGCCATATCTACCGGTCTGAAAATCATCCTATATCCATGTAAGAATCTCAGCAGCCAAGTCGCAGTATTTTAAGATTTGCCATTATAATTTTAATTCAACGTACCTTCGAATTAATTACGGCCCTTTATTTACAGCATTTCAAACCTGCCTTCATGACCTGTGGAAGGAAGCTCCACAGGGTCTGGGGAAAAACCTGTAGAGAAGACTGAGTTGGAAAACGAAAGACACAGCCCCCAATGTTTGCGAACCAGGAAGCAGCGCAAAAGGAAATGATCTATTTCAGGCAATGCGGTGTGTGAGAGTGTAGGCATTTTTGCTGCGTGTTCCTAACGAGGCAGGAAAGGAACAATGCAAATCACGTGAAATGGCAACCCTCCCTCCTCCTCATCCCCTCCCCCTCCTCAACCGTTGACGTCACAGCGCGCGGGCGTTTTCTCAGCCACATTTTGGTAAACATGTTTACGTCTGAGTTGGAAGAGATAAAAAAAAAGCAAAAAACGCAGAAATAGGAAGAGAGCCCGTGTAAGGAGAGAAGTGGAACGAACGAATGAGCAAAAAGAAGAGAGTGAAGAGGGAATTAAGAAGCAAAAATGAATAATAAAATAAAAAAACAGCCAGGAGCAATGGAGCCACAGATGGCTATGTGAGCGTAAGGACTTGGTCATATTCCGTTAAACGGCGAAGTGTACTGTTTTGCGATCGGGTATCGATCGGAAGGAAGGAAATTTATACGATAATTATCTCGAAAGTGCCGGCCCCGCTGCAAAACAAATCCGCGATGCACGTTTAATGCGAAACGTAAGAGCGGCGAGATGTTTGCGACGATTTTGAAATCCTTGATAATTTTAAAGTTGTTTTGAAAAGTGCGCGGAGAGCTCGCCGTAGCGCTTCTCTGCGCAGGAAAAGGCTGCTGCCAAGAGTCTTGATCTCATTAACAGCTTTAAACAAAACGGGTGACAGGGGAAAATGTATTTATGAAATGGCTATTTTACACCACAAGAAAGGTAAAACCTTCCATGCTTTTTCAAAATGTATTCAGTTTTCAAAAAATTCAAGAAAATTTCTACAACCATTGTAATAAACTACTTCATAAATGTGGTGGCAGCTTTGCATAGTCGGCCAGTTGTTCAAAAAATCTTTTTGTGGGTGTCCTGGCGTAAAGATGCGCTCACCATTATGAAGAATAACTATTAACTTCTTCAGAGCTATCGTCATAAAGATACGGACATCTATGTGCTGGGGCACCGCTAAATGCAAGTAGGATTTACTACTCTTATAAGCAGCTGCCCAGCTTAAAGGTACCGACACCTTTACGTAAGGTCGGTCACTATTCGAAAAGACCTTTATGAAGCTGTACCTGTTAGAGATATCCTCATTTTTATAAAAAAAAAAAAAAAAAAAACAGCTTGTAACGTGTTCAAAGCGACCTTTGTAAAGATGCGGACACCTGTATGCTGGGGCATCGCTATCTAAGTAGAATTTAAGTTTCTCTAGCAACTGTCCAGCTCAAAGGTGCCGGCATCTTTCCACTGGTCACTATTCGAAAAGACCTTCATGAGGTTGCTCCTGTACAGAGATGACCACACCCATATACGAGTAAAAAGCGGTTTGTAACTTCTTCAAAGCAATCTTCATAAAGATGCGAACGCATTTAAGGTAGAGAACTACTAGGCAATTAGAGATTAAGTTAGTTACTCTGATTAACAAGTGCATAGCAGTTTTCCGACATAAAGGTCGTTGCTATAAGCATAAAGTTTTTGGGAATTGTTTTGAATCAGTTAGAAACTGTATTTTTATAAAGGTGTGCGGAACTCTATGCAGAGATGCTCTTATAAAAGTTTCTATGTTTTCAAACAGTGGCCGACATGTATAAAAGTGCCGTTATTTTTATGATGGGCGACGTTATAAAAGTGTCTCATTCGTAATTTAAGAAGGTATGCTAAAATGCAAAATCAAATTAGGCTTCGAAACTACTTTCGTGATATAAATATTTTAAATTTAAGTTATACTCTTAAACATGCTTGTTTAATTGTTTAATTATACTTTTGGTTTCTCAAGCATTCATTAATGAGAAAAATGGATCCTAGGTGGAAGCTTAACTTCTTTAATTGTACCTAATTTTTACCCTTCTTTCGGTTAATTCGGTAGTTACTGAAGACAGCAAAGCAAGCTAGAATTATGAGGTTCCAAGTTTTGTGCTGTAAGAAAGACTTTCTAAATTGATTTCTTTATAATAAAATATCATTCAAGGTCGGTCAAAAATTGATGGAAAAAATGTGGGAGCGTGTGGAGATGCTGGAATGCAGGTGTCCTAATTTTCAAGTTCAAAATAATCAATTCGTTTTTGCGAAACGCACGTACATTTTACTAATTCAGAAAAAATTCGAAGGAAATTTTAGATTTATGGAAAGAGCATAAATACCATTCGCAGACTATCTTTGCATAAAAACACAATTGAATTGCAAACATGCAAGCATTTTAAGATAACAGAGTTTCAGGCATGATGATCTGATTCTTATTGAGAATTACAAGATACAACAAGATGCCAGCTTAAGCAATCAAGTAAACTTTTCCGGTTTTAGGCCTTTCAACGCCATCTGCTTTGATTGTCAAAGGGGACAACAAGCTTCCACTATATCGGTACTTAATTTATGGATAGTTTTCATCTATCAGATCTGATGTCTAATTAGTTTAGTAAACGGTTTTTGCTATTAGCAGATTAAGTGTTGCACATTTCTGTGCAGATTATCTTAAAAATATTGAATCAATATAACGTTTTTCAAAAAGGAGATCTCGTTCACAGAATCTTATAGAATTCGTGTTCTAGAGAATACTAGTAAGTATCAGTATTGATGCATAGCTAATTCATAACATTATTTGCATAAATTTAAAATTATAATCATTTCTAGTGTAATGAATTTTGTATGATTACGTCTTGATTCTAAAATAATAAAATTTCTTGAGAACATTAATATTATATTCTTATCGCTTGAAAACTTATAAGTTACCTTATAAGGTAATTCTCCCGCATTGTTAGCACGCCTTCGTAGTGTAGTGGTCTGTAGGCTGGGCGCGTATTTACAGAGGTCCGTGGTTCGATTCCCGGCGAGGGCGTTGCTCATTTTTCACATCTCCTGCTTCCAAAAAACCCTAATGACTCTACACTGGCGCCTGAACCAAAAAGGTGGTGGATGATGATTTTCCACACCCAGGATTTGGCGATTGGTTACCCTAAACCCCAGTCGCCATTTAAAAGGGGGGTATATAAGGTACTTCTCTCGCCTTCTTAGCAAATCTTCGTAGTGCAGTAGTCTGCACACTATGCGTCTATTTCCAGAGGTCCATGGTTCAATTCCCGGCGAGAGCATTGTTCATTTTTCATATCTCCTGCTTCCAAAATTTTTTAATGTCTCTACAACTTGTGTGAAAATGTTTTCTGCATATCAATTGTAGTAAAATTATAAATTAAAGAATATTACACATTAGTAAATCACAAAAGAGTATCATTAAATTACTTTAAATGAAAAAAAAATAACCAACTCGATTTATTCTAGTTTATTTTTTAACCGACCCCTCTAAGAGGGTGATAAATTCGATTTTCTGCCGCTATAGATGCATAAAAAATGCAAACTTAAAAATTAAATATCTTAGTTATATTTTTTAGCATGAAAGAGAAACTTCTTGCGTTTCATTTCGTACAATTAATATACATTTTCATTAAATATAACTGTTTAGACTACAAAAACATTAGATTTCGTACTTTTTACAAAACTGATATTTTGAATTTATAAAGGCCAAAATATGAATATTTACGTAATTTAAAACATTTTTGTTAATGAAAATAAATGTCTACAGTCAACGGCTATGAAAAGGCCGGTTAAGGACTTGGAAACTGTTATAGAGGTCTTCTTAGGTAACAAAAACTGGATTCCCTGGGGCTTAAAGCCACATATTCTCAAAATAATTTACAATACGGTAGTGGAAAAAATCATTACGTAAGTAGCGGCAATCTGGACTAGAACAGTGAATACACGTAAAATAAATATTTTAAGTAGTGGGCAACGACAGTTCCGCCTTAGCCCATTACCAAAGCATTATCGCACCACGGCGACTGCACCTGCCACGGTCTTAGCAGGCTTAGTGCCTCTCCACATTAAAGGCAGTCGTGGAGTCAGCAATAACAGCTGTTACATTGCTACAAAGACAGGCAAAATATAGAGATCTTTACCTTAATTCAGCCGATTATGAGTACAAGACGTCGCTACTTCATGTTCATTCAGCGTAACATAGAGAAGGTATCCATGCCTACACAATAAAAATCAATAGACAAAAGTTTTCGGAAAATGCAATCTGCATATATACAGACGTTTCCAAACTCGATGGAGGAGGTGGATGCAGCGCTTTAATAAAGCATAACAATGAAATTATACAAGCATGGAAAGGCACTTGAGATCAAAGAATACGGTATTTCAAGTTGAAATGGCTGCAGTTAGTCAAGCCATCACAGCAACGGAACAGTTTGATAAGTACATATTCCTCATCTTCACAGACAGCCTTTCTGCTGTTTATGCAATCCGTAATCCCTGCCATCCTTCTACACTGATAGCCGACATCCAGGGTTTGCTTAGAGCGAGAGTCGAAGGACTATTCAAATCTTCTGGATAAAGACAGATGCTGGATACCAAAAGAATGAAGAAGTTGATGACCTCTCCAAAGCAGCAACAAAAAACATCAATTTTTCAGCCTGCGTCCATTCTGCTACCTAGATCTCATCTCAAGAGAGAGATATGGGAGATAGCGTTTAAACAATAGCAAAAAGGAATGGGATGCAGCTCCTTAAGGTAAAAGAGTCCATATTTTCTACCAAAAAGTTTCCAATGATCGACTTATCTTGCCACCCTTTCAAACAAGATTTATAACGGGTTACGGCTCCTTTCCAGAGTATTTCTGTAAAAGGGGATTTGTCTCAGCGAGGCTGGTACTCCAGACTATTATATAACAGCATGCCCTCTCACAGCTGCTGGTTAATGATGCGCCATTCATGCTCTTCTTCATTAAGCAGTCTGCTCTACTCAGAAAACTTAAACCTATAACGGAAAATAGTGTGCTATTTAATGTATGTATGATGTAACCATGTACACTGCACAAAAAAATTTTCTGTATCTCCCGTGCTACTGGGCCGATTGACAAAATTCAAATTGCGTTTTTCATGTCTCGAAAGCGCGACTTAGGATATGTATTAGATTGATATATAGCATTGTTCTAACACAGGTATTTTGACACAAAATGAGGCTTTTTTTTAATAACATACCATTTTTTTCCATATTTCGATTCTACGACTCAAAAATTATGCTAGAATAAATTTTGTAAATTTGCTGCGAAATTTAGGGGAGAAATTCAAAAATTTATCTTGGCCCAATTTTTCAGTTGAGCCAAGAATAATTATTGGCGAACTTCTTCTATATGGCAACCAATTTCCTTTCCTTCTTTTATGCCGGAGCGGGAAAAAAAGTACCTCGTTCCTACCTTTTTACATGTGCATGAGCGGGAAAAAAAGCATATCGTTTCGACTTCCAATATTTAGCAAAGGTCTAAACCACATTCGCTGGTTTTATCGCTTTCAACAAATATGCCAAATTTTCAAAACGCGTCAATATTTAAATAAAGAGTATTCGGAAATTTTGATAAAAAATTTTTGCAGATATGCTTAGAATACGTCTACTTAAGATGATGGTAAAATTTTAGATTATAATTCCATTTTTTTTTTGAAAAATTTATAAAAATATTTAAAAATAAAATTTTAAAAATAACCATGAAAAAATGGGTGAATTTATGTGAATGAATCTGAATTTCGAAATGTGAAAGAAAGAATCAAATAAGTTATAAAAAAAAGAGAGATTAATAAATATATCCCCAAAACTCAATAAAAAGGAGCTAATTTTTTAAACTACTGTGAGATATTTACATAAACTTGGCAGTTGGCTTAATGAGTCGTAGACTCGAA